CCCGCCCGCAGACACCTAGCCTGCCCCGCACTGCAGGCACCTGCTCCATCCACAGTTGTGAAGTGCTATATCCTCAAGTTATAAATTACATTTAAAACACAACATAAATCTTTTTTTTGTATTTTCAAACTTCACATTTTTAAATAAAATAGATTCCGAGAATTCGTTTTTTAGTCATTACGCAGGTGTAATGTGTAAATAAAAAGACAGAAGAAAAGGACTTATTAGGTGTAAGTATTTTTAAAGTGATAAATTAAGTTTGTAAATATATTGTAATAAAGTATTTTTTTTAATTAAACGTGTTTTATTTTATCCCCTCCAAAAATTCATAATTAAAATCACCTAATGTGGTAAAAATAAAAGAGAATAAAGAGTATATGAGAAGTGTAACTGATGTGCTGAAAAAGCTTTTGCAATTTCTAGGGCACAGGCACAAGACAAATTATACAAATCTGGACAGCCCGCCGAGACATATAGCCCCTGTTCCGTATAGCAAGAGAGAGAGAGAAAGAAGAAGAGACATAAGCAGTATTAGATGCATAAAAAACAATGTAGGAAAGGTATTGATGAACGATATTAAAAAGTGATGGAGTATTTTTTACTTTCTTGGTATTAAAAAGTAAGTGGATTTTTTGAATTTGCTAAAATTTCCTTTAACCACTCCAACTAAGATGTAGACATGTGCTAGGATAAGGTTCACGACAATAGTCAAATGGCGGGATTCGAACCCTCGACAGCAAGATCGGTCGTCCATACCCCCGGTAGTCCCTGAGCGTAATATAATTGCTCAAATAAAAAAATCACGCAATCGAAAATAATTTGGCAACCTAAAATCGTCTGTCTTCGAATACGGCCCACGGAAATTGTCTGCCAATATTTTTCAACACGTTTGTGAAAATAAGTAAATTTAGGTGTATATTTTTACTAACTTCAGCGGGTGATAGCGAGTTAAGATTGACGCGAGACAAGAATGAATAAAGTTAAGAAAGTGTATATTAGAGGAAGTTTGGAAGTAGCATCAATGGTGGAGAAATTGAGCAGCAAAAAGTGCAATGCGACGCGAGGATTGGGATATAAAGAAGGAAGATTGAAGAAAGTATATCGATTGTGTGAAAGAGGATATGTTTAAGAGAGTGAATTCAAATATGATAGTTGATAGAAAAGCATGAAAGTAGCACATACTGATACTGTTCCGATTCATAAGACATCCGATAAGGACAAGTTTATGATGCTCAAATAAGGTTTTTTTTATATAATATAAGGTGGCAAACGAGCGAGCGGCCTAAATCCACCGAAATAAAAAGTTTCCGGTGCCCATAAACATTCGCAATTGCAGATGCGTTGCCTAGCATTAGTTGACGGAGGAGACGCACATAAAGAGACATTTTCACTTCCTATGCGTCTTCCTCTACCGTCAAAGCCATTTTTACTTCCCTTCCTTTCTTTTTAAGAAAAAGCCATTTTTTTCTTAGGAAAAGGAACTAACGTTGAGACTCCGGCACCACATTCATCAGACTGTACGCGGAAATGCTTCCACTTCACGCCTATTTTCTGTGCGGTCGTTGTATTGTTGGGGGCGGCCGGCCCTGCAGTGCGAATGTTAAAGCGGGCTCCACCACTGTTAAATGGTGAATAAATAAAACAAATATCAAGTTGAAGGGTATAAACACTTTATTTACAGTTAGAAGAGTCGGTCACTGTGGGTGCGGGGGGCTAGGCGGTCTTGGAGTGCTTCTTCCAGTACTTGCGCACGGCGTCGTGGCCGGCGCGGGTGACGATGACGGTGCGCGTGCGCTCGCTGTGCCACACGAGCACGCTCTGCGCGCGCGCGTACTCCCGCACCAGCGCGAAGTCCGCCTGCGGTAGTCCACACGTAGTCTTTATAGTTCTTACTAGCTTTCGTCCGCGACTCCGTCCGCGTCGTATTAAAAAAAACAAAAGTAAGTAGCCTATGTGTTCTTCCATACTCTGCTATACATTTATGCCAAATTTCATCCAGATCCGTTCGAACGTTTATCCATCCAACCATCCATCTAAACTTTCGCATTTATAATATTAGTTAGAAGTTAGATTTATTTTTTGAGATACAACAACAGGACAAAATTATGACACATTTTTACACAATACAATAAGTAGCATGCAGATAATTTTTCCTAATTATATATTACAGTAGAACCCCGATAAGTTGAAGTCCAAGGGAAACACAAAATATTTTAAGTTGTAGAGGTTTTAAGTTACCAAGGGTCTATGTTGTAGAGGTTTTGGGCTCTGATGGAAAGGGAACATATTATTTTTTGAAGTTTTAGTTATTATTAGTTATAGTAATTATAGAGGTTTTATTATTACCGGGGTTATACTGTACTAATAATAGTATGACACTTTACAAGGAATCGTTTAGCATTTAGTAGCTCAGTATTTTTGTAAATGCCAAAATGGAACGTTCGAGATATTATTTAACTTAATTCAATTTTTATTTTGTTTCTTACTGTTTCTTATTTTTTAATCGATTGGATCGAAATATCTAACTGTAAATATCTCGCTCGCTGCTACATCTGCTCGGAAATAAGGTTTTTAATAAATATAGCTTACATTACACTTTATAACGTTATTTCATTACTTCCAAAAACAGAAATCTTTTCTCTTTATAATATAAATATCGTATGCGCGACATTGGTCGGATCAATAGGCGGAGTTTGTATTAACCCCGCCCCGTTCGCGGAGGGGCGGAGCTTGCAGTAGCCCCGCCCTCCGCCGCGGGGCGGGTTCAGCGAGTGCGGATGCGTACCTGCGAGAGGAACTGGTTGTAGACGACGCCCTCGGTGTAGGAGAAGCGGTTCCTCTCCGCCTGCCAGAGGCGCACCTGGTCCACGACGGTGGGCGGCAGCAGCGTTGGGAGGGGAGAGTGGGCGGAGTGCGCCTGCAGCATCTGGGGGTGCGCGTGCTGCTGCAGGTAGCGTATGATCTGGTCTGCGGTGATGCCGCCGCGCAGCGCCTGCCGCACCGACTCGCGCGTCACCACGCCCACCACCAGGTTCGGGAACCTCGACAACAGTTTACTTCACATTAAGTTTTCTCTACATTTCTATACTTATTCATACTAATATAATCAGGAGGAACATTTGTATTTTAGTTCCTCCAAAACTGCTGGCCCGATTTCAAAAATTCTTTTACCACTTAAAAGTTATGTTGTTAGTAACAAACATTTTTTTACTACTTATTTCATTTCCATGGATACAGTCCCGAGCAACAGCTAGTACATTATAAAGAGTTCTTATATATACTAATGTTCTCATAGTGGTTCGCACTTGGCTAGGACAGTGAATCAGTAAAATTCAATAAGTGATACGCTAGCTGGCACCAGTGAGTTTATACAATCTGTAGTTGTTTGTCGCAACTATCCAATTGTATTAGTCAAACCAGGTATAATATTGAATCTACAACTTAATTGTGTTTTTAAACAGGATAGAAGTAATAGTAATGTCAGAGACCTGTAGAGCAGCTCCGTGAAGAGGCCGAGCAGCGCCACCTGCAGGCTGGTCTGCGTGTACGCGTACACGCGGTAGTTCGTCTCCACCACGATGTAGCCGCGCGCGCCCGCCGCGCCCCCCGCGCCCGCCGCGCCCCGCGCACCCGGCGCAGGGGGCGCAGGGGGCGCGGCGGGCGGCGCGGAGCCCTCGCGCACGCACGTGATGTTCAGCGCCAGCCGCGTCGGGTAGAAGCGGCCCGCTTTACGCTGACAGACATATTTAAATTACACTGAAAAATATAAGGCTAACACACGGATAATTTGCAAAGAGATTCTGAAATACAAGCATGAGTATTATGCGCGGTCTATACTTGGTCAAAACACTAACAGGCCAATGAATCCTAATGTACTGGCCAAGTGCGAACCGCGCATTATTTAATACTAACTTTTACCCGCGACTCCGTCCGCCTGGTATTAAAAAAGACAAAAATAAGTAGTATGCGTGTTCTTCCGGTTACCATCTACATTTATGCGAAATTTCATCGAGATCCGTTTTGTAATTTATGCTACAAAATTTAACAAACATCCATCCATCCATCTAAACTTTTTTATAATATTAGTAAGATATTCCTAGCATATGTGAAGTTGAGTAGCGCCGAGCACTGACCTTCCTCTGGTAGACGAGGCCGAACTCGCGCAGGTGCTGCAGGAACACCAGCATGTTGTTGCTCATGCCCTCCGTGCTGTAGTCCTGACATACAAGACACATTTTAAACAAACAATTAAATACAATTTATTTAAATCAAATTAATGTCATATGGTCAATTTGACCAACAATTTAGTTTCACACAATCAGTGGCCGCAGTATGTGTGTGTGTACCTTGCCGAGGGTGCTGAAGCTGAGCTGGTAGAGGAAGGCGAGGCACTCCGCGGCGCTGAGGCTGCGCTTCTCCGCCGTGTGCAGGTAGTGCTGCAGGAACAGCCACACCTGCACACCGCAACGTGTTCTCAGTTCCCTCGCCACACAGTTAATGCAAATCTTTATATTAAAACAGGCAATAAACACTACACTAATTTTATAGTACTGAGTTGTAAAGGAAGTGACTTATTTAATTTTTTTTTTTTATAACATAAGGTGGCAAACGAGCAAGCGGTCACCCGAATCCGCCAAAATGGCGAAGCGACCGCTGCCCATAGACATCCGCAATTGCAGATGCGTTGCCTACTCTTATACGACGGAGGAAGAGATGCACATAAAGATCATATATCCCCTTCCTATGCATCTCCTTCACTGTCAAATCCTCTTCCCCTTCCCATCCTCTCCTTATGAGAAAAGGGTGGTAAGGAATAAGGGACTTAAATTAGGCCTCCGGCACCACACTCATTAGACGAAACATGGAATTACTTCCACTTCACACCTGTCTTCTGTGTGGTCGTGGTATTACACATGGGCGTGCCGGCCCATTCTTGCTAAGATGTTAAAGCGGACACTACCACTGTCAATAAATAATGGAAACATCAAAAAACAGACTAAGTTCTAAAAATAAAACAGATTCTAAAACATCTAACATAATGAAGATAATTGTATTAATGGTGTGTTTACAAAAGCATCATTGTGACCTGTTTGGCGGTGCTCAGCAGCAGGAACTGAAAACCAGCTCTGGTGATAACAGCAGAACCATCTTCTGCATCTCTGTTGATAATTCCAAAACATTTTCATTTGTATTTTGATCAATCTCTATGTCTCTATTTTAAGTTATAAAAAAAACGACCATAAAATCATCTTATGAGCTTTTTTTTTTTATTCTTTCTTTATATTAAATATACATATTGCTTGCAACTTCAACTGCGTGAAATTAAAAATATAGCTGATAATGTAGCTTTTTAACGGTGTAAGAATTTTTGAAATCAGTCCAGTAGTTCTGAGTTATTTCAATACATACAAAAACACTTTTTTTCCTATTTATTTAAAAAAAAATGCTTTAACATACCATTACTTTTAAATAACCTACTACAATATATCCTTCACCTGGTCATCAATCCAGCGTGCAGCAGTATCCTGACAGCATCAGCACTGATGCCTTCAGTCTGTGTGCTGCCCACCATGTAGTGCAGCACACACTCCCACCGCTCCAGCGCATATGAGTCTAGGAAAGCCACATCCCGCGCCTTGCTGTCAGGTTCCAGTGATGATGACATGCTCCATGGCCGACCACTATTAACATTTGTTTATTTTACAAGGTGCAAATGAGTGGCTGGTACAGCCTGTTGAAGATCAGTGCCCATAAGCATCCACAATATAAAGGGAACTGTAGATGCATTGTTAATCTTCAAGAAAATGTTACACATGCTTCTTAAAGGACTGTAACTCCTAGCAGCTGGTGTACAATTGTCATTAGCAGGGAATAAATAGTTTTTTAGTTCACTTAAATTTCTATTATATACAATTGAATATGAATAGTTTATTGCAAAAGCTCTTATAGTTCTGTTACTGTTAAAGTTTTATAGGAATTGTTTTAAATTTAAAATGTACAAAACTATAGAAATCTTACCCTCCTAACAAAGCAGCCTTTAGGTTCTTTTTGAAAGACTGAGCTAGTATCCACCCGGGCAAACCTCCTGGTATAGGTGCCTCCTGCCACACCGACAGCTCTGATAATGCCTCACATGCTTTACTTTGTTCTCTGAAATAAATTAAAATAATACATACACTTTTGAGAGGGATCCAATCACTCAGAAGTTAAAAATTACTTACTAAGTAGGCTATATGTTCTCCCAGATTTATAAATAAGATGTAAAATCTAGCAATCTAAATTGAAGTTATCAAAAAAAAAAGTAACTTAAAGCATGATAATGCTATACACTTCATTTAACTTTTTTGATTTGACATAAGCCTCAAAATATTGTATGTAAAACTTACTTAGCATGTGTCTGTGAGACCCATGATGCAACCACAGCTTGTGGAACTGGCTGTTCCACAAATAGTAAGCGAATTACAAAATGCCGAGCCAATTCTGGTAGTTCCCTACAAAAAACTTTGTTAATAGACTTTCTATATGAAATTTCTAATCTAACAATAAGTAGAATCATAAAAAATGTGCAAACCGGTACACAGCTAGGCATATCGTAGGATAGTTATATAAAGTTTCCAGAAACTGTGGTGTCCTGCTCTGCAGATATTCATGGAGATTTTTACATTGCAACGTCGGTGAGGGATTCAGATTTAAGGACTTAGATTTAGATGATTCTGACATTATCTTGAGATACTTTATACCTCCCTAACCTAAATTAATTTATAATACACGATAAACATTCAGAAATTTCAACCAATAATAAGATACATTATACACAGCAAAATCAGTTTTTTTATTTATTTATTGCAGTTCACAGTTTATTGGTCTTTGATATTCGAAGATATTGATTTGACATTGACAATGTGAGAAAATCACAGAGGAAAAATTGAATTTCAATTGTCAATGTAACATTACAGATTATACTAGGACAGTAATAATTTTTATGGAGATCTTTTCTTCCCAATACATAAAAAAAATTAAACTATGTATGTAGAAATTAACGTATCCATCTAATGTGAAATATTAAATATTTAGTGTCATTGCATTGATAGTGCACTGCATTGATATCATTCATTAATTTTTACTTAATGCTAACTTTATGCTTTTAAAGGTAAGTATAATTTTTAGATCGCTTGGATATAATCGTATATTTCTTGTAAAAAATATCGTGGAAATCCTACATCCACCTGTGGACAGGCATTTAATAAGATAATGGCTTCTATGTTTTACATATATATTTTTAGGCTCGTAAACTGGTAAAAACAACGTCTTAAAGAGGAACGGTCTGATTAACAAAACGTCATTAATCCATTTATTATTAATATTAATATTTGTATAAACATCGAAAACTAAAATAGTAACAAAATTAAAAGATATTTACTAAAATTTACTGATTAAAGTAGCTGAAGAACCTTATGAAGTATACTCTTTACGACTTTTATAGTCGAACGTAACACAGTTATGTTGAACATTGCAGGGAAAGAGAGTTGGAGTTAAAGCCTACTTAATACTTAATTCCATTCCATATCCAAAGGCTTTTTTGTCGTCTCTTTGTCCCATACAGTAAAAAAAAACTTTACTCACACTCGCGTAAACTACGCATGTATTGGTATTCTATTATGTAGAAACGGGTCTCGCACACTAATGCACGATAGCGAGTTCACCGCATTCATTCTCGACGGCAGATGGCAGATGCAGCAGACGCGACGCTTTACGTTTTCCGTCAGTCGCGCATAGACAACGGTGAGGGCAGTGCGAGTCCGATCCGCTCAGCTTCATTTTGTGTTATCGTTTCGAACGGGACATTGTGTATATGTGCTCGTGAATAATCACAAACGACTAAATCAAGTGTCCGAGAGTTGTTCATCGAGTGTTAACTTTCGACATGTCTGTGGAGGAATCGATGCGATATCTCTGGCGCTCATAGAAACCGCGCCTCCGTCATGAACGAGTGATCGTCGACGTAAAAAAAGTTGACACAGGAAACATGTCTGGGCGGACCGCCGACGCGGATACGAGCGAAGGGTTCGAATTCGAAATTCGAAAGCGGTCATGTCATCGCCTCTCGGATTTCTTATAAGTCACCGTCCAATGTCAAAATCGTGCACGTACCGCGAGCGCCGGGCGTCGGGACAGGGACAGGCAAAAAGAGAGCGCGGGTGCGCACAATGCAGTCGTTGGTAGTGTGGTGGGCCGTGGTGTCGGCGGCGTGGGCGCTGGCGGGCGCGTGCTCCTCGTCCATCTCGAAGAGGCCGGCGCGGCCGGCGCGCCCGCAGCGCCCGCCGCCGCAGCCTCAGCCCCAGCCGCGCGTCAACGTCACCTTCCCCATCTTCAAGTGCGAGCCCGACTACTCGGAGTACTACTGCCTCAATGGGGGCTCGTGCTTCACGGTGGTCATCTCCGACAGCCCCATCTACAACTGCGAATGCCGGAGCGGCTTCGTGGGCCAGCGCTGCGAGTTCAAGGACTTGGACGACTCGTACGTGCTGACGAGTCGGCAGATGCTGATGGAGACGGCGTCGATCGCCGGCGGGGTGACCGTGGCGGTGTTCCTCGCGATTCTAGTCTGCTTCGGGGCGTGGGTGCGGCTGCACCGGCGCGCGAAGGCGCCGCCGTTGGGCGAGGAGCACGGGCCGCCGCCCGTGCAGCTGGTGGCGGTGGCGGCGCCGCGGGGCCGCGTGCAGCTTTGCGCGGCGCGCTAGGGCCGCTCGGACATTCGTGTACATATAGATAGTGTATGTGTTAAGTTATGTGGAGAGAACGGAGATAAGAAAAATTTATGTGATAATTATTTTACGAAGCTTATAATTTATTTGGAAGGAATTTCTTGTGTATATAGAGATCCGAGCCGTCGGGTTGGTTGTGTGGATGTAAATTTCAGTCTCCCTATGTGAATGTACGCTGTACCTTGTTTATGTTCAGTGTATTGGTTGTGTCCATCATCTGTGCAAATGTACCTAATGCTACTCGCTTCAAGTAGAAAATGTTTTGTTGTGTTGTTGTTGCTCCCTTATTGTGCAATATGGGAGGTGAAGCCTGTCAGGGGGAATAATGTATATAGTTTGTAATAACACCTTTGTGTAAGTGTTAAATTCATATTGGAATTGTAACTCTGTAAGTTGTTCCTTCTGGGAGGTAGTTCTGTGGGTGCGGTTTATTCCATTGCAGACGCTGCATGTTACTGTTTTATAATGTAGCAAATATTTAGAGGGGAAGTTTAGAAGCAAAGCTTTACATTGGCATTACTCTGCAGAAGTGTAGAAATCTTTTGATGTGTAAAATGTAATATATGAATGATTGGTGGCTGTGGGAAGGTAACTTGGAGAGTAATGTCATGTGAGGGTTTGCAAGACGGGGAAGTGCGCACCAGGCCTAAACACGCTAGTGCCTGCGCTGCTGCATAGATACTTGTAAATCAATGTTTATTGTATTTATTAGTACTTTTTGTTCTATGTTGAATATAATTGTGATGAATTTGGAAGTTTGTGAGGCAGCGAGTAGCAGAGTTCCTATGGCGTCGCCGCGGCGCGCTCGCACATTCCATCTCGCGATAGAGTATTTACTGGTGTCAGTATTATTTTGTAATACAGATGTTAAGCCGGCAGCTTTACTTTTAATTTATACCAGATATCCCAGTGGGATAAGGCTGTATTATATTTGTTTGAAGGCTGAATGTGGCCGCAACGAGGAAGGCTTCTTGTACATATAGCCCGTGTAGGTATTTATTAGATATTTATAAACGTTTATTTATTGACTGCTTTATTTAGTTAAAAAACTTGAGTATCGATAGCATCCAAGTTGCCTAATAACAAGTAACGGTTGCATCTTAAAACTTGCTAAGCACGGCCTCGCGTATGTTATTCCCTGTCGTAATCTCATTTCGAATCTCGTCTTGTAAAAATCGTAAAACATTGGATGGTGTACAAAATTATTCCCCGAGCGGTGCAAGCCATTGAGTATAAATATGTCTGCTAAGAATTTCTACTAAAAGATAATCTAAACTAGCCCTTATTGCTTTCACTTATATATACAATATTGCTTTAGGCTTCTGCTTGTGAATTTTGTTTACATGTAGCAATGAGAGTTTGTAAATCAACTTGTTCTGTGGCTTGCACTGCAACGGGAGACAAAAAAAATAGTAAAGTTAATGTTGTGTGATGTGTCTGTTCTGTGAGCTGACCTTGTGGGGAGGTTCTGTTAGCATGCACCTAACTCTGTGCAGTTGTCCCCCAGTGGGCCAGCTGACAGGCAGACCTAGCTAGCTAGCCAGGTGAGAGTGGCCCGTGTTGTCTATGTTGAGTCGATTCATATAAGACAGTTTGTATGAACATTCCAAAGTATATGTAAAATATTACCTACATCACTAATAATTTTGAAGTATCTGTTAAGACGCTACTTTGTTAATTATACAGTTTTCTATTGATCATTTGTTAAAAGAAAATTATATGAAACTAAATCCTTAATCTATGTTTTTCATTCAACAACATCCATATGATTTCAGTGTTCAAAAACGTGATCATTCATAGTTAAGTTATTTGGTAAATTATATTTCGTTATAAAGCACTTGTTAACACGCCAAAGTACTACACATAGTAACAATACGTTAATTGTTATAATCTTGACCTAATTTAATACGAGTCGAAAATATTCGTAAATATTGGTAAGTGTACTGAATGTGGCAACATTGCACCATATAACAATATTGTGTAAATATTATAATGAACCGTTGCTAAGCACACCACGTATCAGACCCGCCGTGGCCCACGCACTCGTGATGTTAGCACTAACTCATTGTTACACACCTGATATTACCTCTATACTCGCGGAACTAAACTAACAAAAGGACGTATAATAAATTTATCTATGAAACAAACAAGACAAGTTCAAGAAAATTTAATTACTACTATTACATTTGATCTGTCGCTTTTGTTATCTGAATAGCTTTTCAAATAGGATTAAAAATAATACGCGTTCTGTACAAACAATAAAATATGTAGAAAGAACGCTCGCGCTAGACAGGGAACTGTTCATTGAGCCTCCGGGAGCACATATTTTTATGAATAGGTACCCGACGCGGCACCGACCGGTCCGCCACCGAGCCGCCGAGCCACGGAGCCACCGACGTCGCATAGAGTTCATTGAATGAGTGGCCGTCGGTTTGTTGACATTCCCCGAAAACCTGCCTCGCCCGGAATAGCCGCATCACACTGCCGGCTCCCGATGGATGCACGCCGACAGAAATAGACACCGCGCCGAACTAGATTACGAGCCCTTTTGGAAGTTCAATACTCATCGAACTCACCCATTTAACAGAAATAAGGCAGGATGTCGGCTTCACGATTAACGAGGGATGCGTTCATAACAATACGTAGCTTTGTTGTCATACTTTCTACCTTCCGACATCTCTATATCGATTACAAAAACTTTAACATGTATTCTTTAGCTAATAAAATTAAACATGTGTTCTAATTCAATATAATTATTACGTAAATAATTTATAAAAGTATTAATTTACGATGTTATTGTTAAAAAAATTAACTAACATACAAAACATGAATGAACGACAGAAATATTTTTGTAAATTTAAACATGTATGTAGATTCAACGTAAATAATTTATAGACGCATAAATAATGTTGATCGCGGAAGATGACACTTGTTTTGAATTCTTTGCGGGCTTAAAGTTTGTCGCTTGCTAAGTTTGGGGTCGGAATGATCATCGTACTGGCTATTTAAATCGTGCTGACGTTCACAATCAAAACTGCTGTGAATGAACACATCAAGTTGAGGCGAAACGAGACTGTTGGAGACATCCAGCGGCATCCGCGGGCCCCGCGGCCAGTGTACACCGACCTCCCGCCCCGCTCCCACTGTATGGAAGTGCAGGCGAAAGTGCGGTTGCCAATGGATGTTCGTGGGTCTCCGTCTTGGTCGTGGGTTAGACGGATCGTCGCTCGGCCCACGCTGGATCCTTTATGGTCATCGGGCAGTGGTCATTGCGTCCAATTAACATGCCTACGTGCCCGGCCCACTTTGTCATTATGTTGCCGCGCGAAAATCCTCCTGCTCCTTCTCAAACACAATATTACTTAGAATTTTGAGATGTTTGTCTTCTCAAATCTTTTCTTAGCGTAATAGCAGCAATTGTATCATTAAAGAGACCTTCATTAACCATAAAGTGATACTCTCTAATTCCGAATATGCTATTGCATATTTATTTTAAAAGCTTCGTTTAAACATGTTTAATCTGAGGGTTTTGAACTTACCGTTAAAAACCTTACCAATATACTATTGTGTTTAAGCAAGTTATTTTATAATCGATCTTAGTCACTTCGCATTAATATATTGCGTAACGCTTAGCTTTGTAATGTAACGTGGTCACAGTTGCCTTGATTTAAAGTTTCTTCACATTTTAAGAATCTCTGATCACGCGCAAATATTTATTATCTAACATACTCATACTCTCAGACATACTGAATAGAAACAATCAAATTAAAAATATGTAAATAATACTAGTTCGTTCCTATTATGTTGGCATCTTTTACTTTGAATTAAGTTGGTGAAATATGTCTTAACATTTACTTTTCATCTGAATAAAAAAGGAGAGTTTCAGTAAAAGCCGAGTTATAACCCATCGAACTTTTAGGAGCACTATATCGATTGGTCTGTGTGTCAGGAGGTGAGATGCACCTCGTGATTTGGTCAAGTGCACCCGATCGCACATCAGAGCCGAGCCTATGCTCGCGGCGCGCGGCTCGAAGCCCGCCTTCCGCCCGATCGCCTTCCTGCGCCAGATGGCGGCACGTGCGACGCAAAAACGACACGCTCCTCTCAAAGATTAACGCATTTAATTACTTTTATCAACAAACCTGTAAGTAATAAACGTGCTATAAAAATAAAATACAAATTTATTATAGTACTGTTGAAAATTAACAATGTTTGCGTTCTGCTTTTGAACGAAATAATTTAACTTTTATACATTTTGGGATGTTGATTTAAATGTTCTTAACAAAATCTGACCTCAACTGATTCCGATTTCGTGTCGGCGTTGGTCGCATAAGTGAAATATTTGAACTCCAAAAATACGTAGGTACTCAAAACTAAAGCAATAACGGCGTGACCGAGAAGGCAGACATTACGAGTTTCCATTTTGCGCTTCGCAGCACATCTCTCCCGCTTCTTCGCTTTCCTAAACTACTGCGACGTTATCCATGTAGGGAACTCGAACCTTATCATTAAAACACAAAAATCATCGATTATAATGTTTAGGATTCCGAAAATAACCTAGCTTACAATTTTTATTTAAATGTTGATGATGTCACGTTTTAAAACTATATTTATATCTGTGACTGTGACGATTCTAGACTAGTAGTTTTATTGCTCTAACACCTGTACGCGCTAGACGACACATTTTCACTATATTTGTATAATATAACTATTGTATTTCTTTGTAATATTATACATTTTTTACTAAACTAAATAAACATGGTAAAATTCTATTTGTCTCTAAGAGGACGCCGTTTTTATCTGTTTTTCGATTTCGATGTGTCATATCTGGACAGGTTGCAAAATATTCTACAATCCACTCCAGCGATCAAGCTCTTAAACCTGTTGCACTCTGGGGTGGGCTAAAAAACTACTGGAGAACGCACGTGTCACCTGCCTTTTATCACGCCATTGTTTGATCAAGTGCCCATCATCGGCTGTAACCTACTAGATATTAAAAACTTTGATTGGCTGAATAACGTGTTACCGATGCCTTTTAAAAAATAAATATGCCGCCATTTTGCTCATGCACGTTAGTTTTTTTTAAATAGAATTAGTACTCTTTCAAGACACGTTCTTTTACGTTGATTAAAACTTAGGTCTATAATACAATAAAGAAGATTAAATCAATTGTAAGTTTCGCATGTTATCAGCTCGTCGCGGTGTGGGATTGAAAAATTACTATCAAATAATTTTTCATTCACCAAGACTTTAAGACAAATCGAGACGACGATAAATTTAATCACAATTATGTTCCGAGAACCAAAATAATGTTATTGTGGGCGTTTTGTAATCATTCTTCTAGTATTAGACATTCTGAATAATCTATTCATTCGACAGAAAGATTATTTCCGGTGTATGAAATTTCAAAGTTTCCTTTTTTAGAACATAATTTGAAAATGTGATTTTGTGATGACTTTCTGCGTTTCCCCTGAGAGAAACTACCTTAAAATTAATATTAAATTAAAAATCAATATAACGGTCATTAAAATAGGCCTAATTTTTTTACAATTGCGAATTACACGGTATCGAAGAGCCGTCAATTTCCAAGTTCATTTAAGGTTAGATACAGTGAATTATAGACGCAGCCGCGAGTCGATATCTAATGCCGTGACAGTAACGAGTCGAAAATAATTTCACTAGAAAACAACGGGCCCGTAAGATGGCTGTCTCTCTCGTGTCAGCGCGGCGCATGCGCAGGCGAGGCGAGGCGATGCCGCATCGTGGGAAGTCCATTCTTCGCCGCGAAACTGCCGGAAGGGAGCCGGCGCTTGCGTTTACAACACACAATTTATATCGTCGCCACAATATAATCTGTTTCTGTCATTTAACACTTATGTAAATACATTTTAAGTGATGCAGATGACAACAATCTTTTCACCTTCATTGATTTGATATTCGAGTACGTCTAATATGTATCGGATGAAATAAACAATTTCGTGAAACCGAAAGCCAATAAATTGTTTAATTTTAAGTATAAACGCTTCCATATTTATTTAATTGACTCAATAATACAATCTGTGATTGCGTGGCTATCAGCGCAAAATCTTCGCAGATGTACCATTGAGATGCGACCAATTAGACAATGTTAGGAAGTGACAGAGAGCGAGGCTGTCGCGGCTCGCAGCATTGTGCCCACTTGACTCATCTCTCTTCTCACTAGGCATTGCACTGTGCTCTTGCACACACAAACTATGCGATTGTTTATTATTACTTGCTTTTTATGCTGACTTTTCGTTGATTCCTATAATAGGTGTAACAGAATAATAACAACTGTCCTGTTTTGTACGCATTTGCTGCAAAGCAAAACGGTAATTATTTAAGCAAAGTTGATAAATTACATTTATAGATTACGATTACCAGTTTTATCGCTTACGAAATAGACGACAAAATTACTTAATAGTTGAATAACAGTATCAAAGTAGCTACGCACGTCCATCACGTTTGTTGTATCGGCTACGCGGGTCAAGATTACTAGAAACTGAGTTCGAAGACCAGACTTAACAACAAAGAAACGACCGTTTTCACATTGTGTCGTAACGAGGTCAGATTTTAAAACCGAGTTCTTCCTCCAAGAAGTAGACGCATCTACGAGTTACATTAAAATTAAGAAATATGGTCATATTCATATGAACTGCTCGGTCGGTGTACCGAATATTCTAGCATTAAATGGCTGTCGATGGTGATCACTAAGTAAA